CTTTCCCTCTCCCTTTCTGTAAAAAAATCAATGAAATATATTAAAATAAATAAAAATCAATGGAAAAATATCCTCGGGTGACTGGGTCTGTGCTTGGCAGATTCACAGAACCTTGAGGAGGCCAGAGAGGCCGCCGGAGAGAGGGGGAGGGAGAGGAGTGGAAGCCGGTCTGAGAGGTAAGGGGGAGGGGGAGGGGAGGCGCAGCAGCACCTTCTAGGCCACGGTCAGGACTTTGGGCTTCTATTCTGGGCCACATGGGAGGGTTCTGAGCTGAAGCTGATGCGAGGGAGGTGACTGAGGTTGCATAGGATCCCTCTGGATGTGGAAACAGATTTTAGCCGGGCAAGGGGGAAGGCAGGCTGGAGACCAGTGAGAAGGTACAGTGATGGCCCCCGGCAAGAGAGGATGCTGGCTGGAACCAGCAGCGGGGTAGCCGTGGAGGGGGGTGAGAAGTGATGGGATTTCTGGATCTATCTTGACTATTGAACAAAAAAGATTTGCTGACATACATGTTGGTAAATTGCATGTGGGATGTGAGAAAAAGGGGGTCACAGAAAGGATTTTGGCCTGAGCAAGTAGAACCATGGCACCTGAATCTACTAAGATGAAGACCAGGGGTTGGGGGCAGGTTTGAAGGAGCATTTTTTTTATATATATATTTTATTGATTTTTTACAGAGAGGAAGGGAGAGAGAGAGTTAGAAACATCGATGAGAGAGAAACATCGATCAGCTGCCTCCTGCACACTCCCCACTGGGGATGTGCCTGCAACCCAGGTACATGCCCTTGACTGGAATCGAACCTGGGATCTTTCAGTCCGCAGGCCGACGCTCTGTCCACTGAGCCAAACCGGTTTCGGCAAAGGAGCATTTTTTAAATATATTTTTATTGATATTTGAGAGAGAGAGAGAGAGAGAAGCATTGCTGTTAGAGCAAAACATAGGTAGGCTGCCTCCCACAAGCCCCTACCAGGGATCAAGCCCACAACCCGGACATGTGCCCCAACCAGGAATCCAACCAGCAACCCCTTGGTGTTCAGGACGATGCCCAACCAACTGAGCCACACTGGCCAGGGCTGGAGGAGAACATTGAGGTTAATTTTTGAATTTATGGAGCTTAAGATGCCTATTTAGCCGAAACTGGTTTGGCTCGGTGGATGGAGCGTCAGCCTGCGGACTGGAGGGTCCCAGGTTCGATTCCGGTCAAGGGCATGTGCCTCGGTTGCGGGCACATTCCCAGTGGGGGATGTGCGGGAGGCGGCTGATCGATGTTTCTCTCTCATCTAAGTTTCTGGCTCTCTATTCCTCTCCCTTCCTCTCTGTGAAAAATCAATAAAATATATTTAAAAAAAAGATTAAAAAAAAAAAAGATGCCTATTTACACATCCAAGTGGAGATCCTGATTGGGTAGTTGCATATACACTGAGTGGCCAGATTATTATGACCACCTGACGTTTGTAGGCAAATTAGCTATAATTTCACGCTGAAGTTGCTAGAGGACCAGACCATTATCAATAGGGAAGCAGGTTGTTTACCACGACAGCAGAAGGGATTTTTTTCTGAAGATATGGATAAACACCGAGATTTAACAGCTTGTGAATGTGGGATATATATGTACACTGAGCGGCTAGATTATTATGACCACCCCATCCGTACTTCGTTGGGCCACCTTTTGCCTTCAATATTGTGGCGATTCTTCTTGGCACTGACTCCACGAGATGTTGAAAGGTGATGCGAGGAACCTGACACCAGGCCTGATGAATAGCACTGTCCGGTTCTGTGAGATTTGATGGCTGTGGAACCAGCTGCCTGATGGCTCTTTTAACTTTGTCCCACAAATGCTCAATTGGATTGAGATCTGGTGATTGTGGGGGCCACCTAAGCAAGGTAAAGTCTCCCTCATGTTACCTTGGTAACTTCAGACGGCAAAGATGATCGAACGGGCCTTCGGCTTCCATATCCCATACGATGCAATATATGGCTAATTTGCCTACAAACGTCAGGTGGTCATAATAATGTGGCCATTCTGTAAACATCTGGACTTCAGTGAGCGATGTAGGAGAGTGACATAAACTTAGGAGGCATCAGTGTCCAGTGCAAATACCGTGTCAGGCACAAATAGGTATCACATGTGTAATTTTTTATTTTCTAATAGCCACAGTTTTATTTTGTTTTTTTAAAATATATTTTCATTGATTTCAGAGAGGAAGGGAGAGAGAGAGAAACATCCATGATGAGAGAGAATCATGGATCGGCTGCCTCCTGCACGCCCCCTACTGGGAATCAAACCCGCAACCCAGGCATGTGCCCTTGGCTGGGACCCTTGAATCCACAGGCCAATGCTCTATCCACTGAGCCAAACCGGCTAGGGCTCCAGTAGCCATATAAGTTTTTATTGTTTTTTGAGAGAGAAAGGGATAGGGGTAGAGAGATGGAAACATCAATGAGAGAAAAACATCGATCGGCGGCCTCCTGCACGCCCCCTACTGGGGACTGAGCCCACAACCCAGGTATGTGCCCTGACCGGAAATCGGACCAAGGACCTCCTGGTTCATGGGTTGATGCTCAACCACTAAGCCACTCCAGCCAGGCTCTAATAAGCCACATTTTTTAAAAGGTAGACAGAGCAGATGAAATTAATTTTAATGTATTTTCTTTAACCCCATACTTAAAATACTGCCATTTGAACGTGCAACCAATATAAAAATGATTTATTAATATTATACAATTATCTTTTTTCATACCATGTCTTTGAAACCTAACATCCATTTTAGATGAACCGCACATCTCAGTTCAGACTAACCCATTTCAAGTGCTCAGTAGCCATGTGTGGCTGATGGCTGACATATTGAAGAGTGCAGGTCTAGGTAATCCTATATAAGAAAAGGCTAACATGCAAATTAACCGAATGGGGGAACGACCGGTTACAATGATGCACAGTGACCACCAGGGGGCAGATGGGTTGCAATGATGCACAGTGACCACCAGGGGGCAGATGCTCAATGCAGGAGCTGCCCCCTGGTGGTCAGTGTGGGAACAGGGGGAGTGCCACCGAGCCAGAAGCCGGGCTCACGGAAGCTAGATGCAGGGCTTCCCAGGCCATGGGTTTGCCCAGTGGACCTCGAGGAAAACCTGGTCTTGGTAATCCTGGTGAATGAGAGTTTCCTTGTCCCTCCTGCTGAGTGCCTCCCACAGAGCTCTCTCTCTCCTCAGATGGGCCTCTGCTGGAAGAGCTGGTGACTCTTAGGAGGAAGGTGACCAAGAAACTCAAGTCAGTGTTGAGGTCGTATGAACTAAAAGGTGCAGCGTCCTCCTCCACCAAGTCCCATCCCCTTCTCTCACTTTTTCTCCCACACCCCTTCCTCCCCTCCCCTCCGACTCAGCCTTCCCTGCCCCTCGCTAATATTCCTTCCTCTTCTTCCCCAGACTCATGCCTCCCTCCCTCTCCTGGTTCCTTTCCTTGATCAGATTCTCAAATTGCTGTTCCAGCTTATCTCACCTCAGCTCTTTTCAATTGCAGCCTGTGATCGGAAAATTTGCCGTGAGTCCTGGTAGATGTATTGTCTATCCCTCCCTTCGCTACCCTTCTACGCCTCTTTACCCACAAATCAAGCCCCACTATCACACCTACTCCATCTAGTGCAGTGGTTCTCAACCTTCCTAATGCCGCGACCCTTTAATACAGTTCCTCGTGTGGCGGTGACCCCCAATTTCATTGTTACAAATTGAACATCATGAAAGCATAGTGATTCATCACAAAAACAATATGTCATTATATATGTGTTTTCTGATGGTCTTAGACGACCCCTGTGAAAGGGTCGTTCGAACCCCCCAAAGGGGTCGCGACCCACAGGTTGAGAACCGCTGATCTAGTGGGTCCAAAGTTCTAATGCTTATGGATATCTGATTTTTGAGGGCTTATGAAAGTTGTAACCTGAAAAAAAAAAAGTACTTTGGGGCAATGTTAGACAGGATAGGGGAGCCTGTATCCTAGCAACAAACCCCGAATGTCAGTGTTTTAATGAAAGAAAGGCTTAGTTCTCTTTTACTCAAATTCCACCGAGAGTTGAGCAGTTCTCCAAAGTGCTGACTCAGGGGTCCAGGCTGCACCCGGGTTGTGCCTTCTCAACAAGCTTCAAAAAACGGAGAAAGAATAGGGAATTCCCCAGGAACTTTGATAGCCAAACCCGGGAATTGGCTCTGCATTCCTCTGCCCACTTTCCATTGGCCAGAACTCAGTCACATGTTTTCAAACTACTGCAAAGAATCCTGGGAAATGTAGTCTTCCCAGTGTGGCAGGACGCTGAGGAGACAGATGAGTGAGCATCCAGCCAGGCTATGCCACAGGTGGCTGCAAAATAGGAATGGAGATGTGAAAGCATGCCTTTGCAGATGTTTAATTAAACATGCGTTTAATTTTAATTAAAGGTCTGCAAACAGAACGTTGGGTTCACGGAACAGCTGCAACTTAATCGAACTCTTCCATCAACTTGGATATATTTTATAAATATATACAAGTCATTTTGAAGGTGAATCGTCAGTGCGTTTTGCTCAGCTTGCTCTGCTGCCCATGGCACCCCCAAATTCACGAGAGCCAAGGGACTCCATATCCCCTTTCCCCTTCTGTTTTCCCACCCCGTGCCAATTGTCTCATAGCTGCCCTCATCCTACTTCTCCCTCCCCCCTTGTCCAGACATGCTGAAAGAAGAGGTCTTGGACTGTGTTCATTGCCTGAAGACCAGTCCCACGTGCATTAAAAAGAATAACTGTTTCGGTAAGCTCTTGTGGGCGGGGGAAGACATGAGAGACATCAGCCGGTCCCAGTGGATATGGGGTTTTGAGGTCTCCCACGTGCAGCCTTGAATTCTGCCCTGAACTTGCTTACAGTGAGGCCCAGAGGTGCTTCCACATTCTGAAGTTCATTTTCCCCTGATGTTAGATGGGATGATTCCTCTGTAATTTGACCATGCATCTAATAGCAGGATGGCAGGTGCAAAAAGATATTTTATTTTTGTTTATTTTTTATTTTTTAAAACATATTTTTATTGATTTCAGAGAGAAAGGAAGAGGGAGAGAGAGATAGAAACATCAATGATGAGAGAGAATCATTGATCGGCTACCTCCTGGGACCCTTGATTCCGCAGGCCGATGCTCCATCCACTGAGCCAAACCAGCTAGGGCAGATAGTGTATTTTTAGCCAGTGTCGCATCTGGGGAGTCTGAAAGGCTATGCTTAATTTATTCACTCATTGGGATTTTTAAAAAATACATATCGTAGCCCTAACCGGTTTGGCTCAGTGGATAGAGCGTCGGCCTGTGAACTCAAGGGTCCCAGGTTCGATTCTGGTCAAGGGCATGTACCTTGCAACCGTGGGGTATCAGGACGATGCTGTAACCAACTGAGCTACCTGGCCAGGGCATGGTTCATTGTTTGTTTTCTTTTTTCTTCCTTCTCTATATTAAAACATCATATCTAGCCCTGACCGGTTTGGCTCAGTGGATAGAGCCTCGGCCTGGGGACTGAAGGGTCCCAGGTTCGATTCCGGTCAAGGGCATGTACTTTGGTTGTGGGCACGCGTGTCATAGGTTCGCCATCACTGGACTAGGCTTTCACTGACATTTGGGACTGGATAATCCTTTTTTTAAAAAATTGATTTCAGAGAGAAAGGGAACCCGGGCATGTGCTCTGACCGGGAATTGAACCTGGGACCCTTCAGTCCCCAGGCCGACGCTCTATTCACTGAGCCAAACCCGGTTAGGTGTGGGATTTTATTCCGAATGAGAGATGAACCGTGGGAGGGCTCTGAGCAGAAGAGGGACATGAGTGGACGTGGGGGGGGGGGATAACGGCGCCCCTGGCGGCCACGCGGGGAACTGCAGGGAGGAGAAGCCAGGATCCTGTGACGGGGAGGGTGCGGCTAGACCCGATCAGGAGCCCAGGGGGAGGTTCAGATACTGGATATACTTTGAAGGTCGAGCTGACGGAACGAGAGGGTGCGAGTGGGAGGTGCAGAACGGCACTCCCAAGGCCACCCTCGGAGCCGCCCCCTTCAGGCTCCCTGCTTCTCAGGGGATTGTCAGCATTTTGCATTCCCCTGTCATGTTCTCGGCAAAGGAGCGACCCAAGTCCCCCTCCCACCCTGACCCCCATCTGATGGGATGCATTTAGCACTGGGGTCTTCGCTGGCTCTTCTCGGTGGGGGGGGGGGTTAGGAAGGAGCAGGGGTGAGTTCACACTGGGATCCCCAGTGCCTGGGACACAGAGTTCCGGGAATGGATGAATGGCGGGCCAGGAGGTGGGAAGGAGGCCCAGGTCGCTGAGCGAGCAGCGGGTGCGATCCAGGTCAAGGCGGGGTGGCAACGGAGGTGCGGGCTGTCAGTCGACAGGCAGCCCCGCACGGCCCTGCGGTACGACAGAGCGAGCGGACACCCGCGGACACAGGCCCGGCTCGCCATCATCGTTTCCGTGTGTCTGGCCGTCATCGTCTTTGGGGTCATCGTGGCTTCGTGAGTCCTCCCTGCCCGCACCCGAAGCCCCCAAAGGCCCCACTGAGCCCCTCCAAGTGGCAACGCCCTCGAGGGTCACGGTGTCCTTTGGGAATCTCCCCGGTCACTTTATCTATTTCTCTCTCTCTCTCTCCCCTCCCCCCCCATCACTGGACGACACTGTCTTTCCGAGTCCTCAGCACCTTTGCTTTTGTGAGTCTCTTCCT